TTATTTACAAGGACTGAGAAAAACTCCCAGTCGTGGTACACATTCACTGGTAATACATTCGCAAGTGCTCGATATTTCATGGGTGAGGCTGAACCTTTCCATCCATGTCTTCAATCCAGTAAGTTCCAGGTCAAACTTCCCTTTTGATACGGTAGGGTCCTTCCCAATTAGGCCCCAAGGCTCCTACTCCTGGCTTTTTGGAGGACAAGAAAACTCTTCGAAGTACGAGATCGTTTATCCGGAAAGATCTCTTCTTCACCCTAGCATTGTAATACCGGGTCATTTTTCTCTGGTACATGGCCATTTTTATCTGGGAATTATCCCTCCTTTCTTCAAGGAGATCCAATCCACACCTTCTTGATTCATCATTATCTATCTCATTGAAGTGTATCATCCTAAGGGACGGAAGACCCACTTCAACGGGGCTCATGGCTTCTACTCCATATGCCATGGAAAACGGGGTTTCCTCGGGGGCAGTTTGAATGGTGGTTCTGATAGCCCACAGAACCTGGGGTAGTTCATCTACCAAGCCCCTTTCGATGCGTTAAGTTTCCTTTTCAGGGTATACTTGATGGTTTTGTTTACGACCTCAACTTGCCCGTTTGCCTGGGGGTGATGTGGGGAAGAGAAGTGTTTCTTGATGCCCAATTCCTCGCACATCTCCCTCACTTTCTTGTTATCAAATTGCGTGTCGTTGTTTGATACAATTGAATGAGGGATACCGAACCTACAAATTAGGTTCTTCCAGACGATCTTGGAGATGTTGGCCTCAGTTATCTTTGTAGGTGGTTCAGCTTCCACCATTTTGTGAAATAATCGATAGCGACAATGGTGAAGCTAGCGCTTCCTCTTCCTTTGGGAAACGACCCGATTAGGTCAATCCCTCATTTTGCAAATGGCTAAGGACTAAAGACCACATTCAATTCCTGTGAAGGCTACCTCTGTATAGTGCCAAAACGTTGGCATTTGTCACATTTCTGTATGAATTGTAGCGCATCCTTTTTCAAGGTGGACAAGTAGTACCCTTGCCTAAGTACCTTTTGTGTCAAGGACCAACCTCCAACGTGA